GAAGTTAAATACCATCTTATAAGATGTGCTGTAGGTGTTACTCAGAGCACCCTTTCTTCCTCATCCTGGAAGGCCAAAATGAAAATCCTACTTTAGGTTGGATTTTGAGTTACTTTTCAGAAACAGCAGTCAAATCAAAGACATTTCACGTGACTGCAGAGTATGGATAGATCAGGAAACAATTTTAGGTGGGATTTTCAAAGCCATCTAAGGAATGAAGGTGCCTTAAGTGACCTGTGAGAAGTGAGTGGCTAGGTCCCTTCTTCATGTGTGTTGACGAGTGCTTTTAGCCTGGGTGCAACTCTGTATTGTATCGTTACAGTGACGGCCAGCTCTCATGACTTAACTAAAGTCTCCCTGTCTAAGCATGTTTTGGCAGTCTAACGGCAGGTGCTCTGAGGGCTGTTTCTGGCCTCTCGCTGTGGGTTAGCAATTGCACCTCCTCAGACCCCTGTTGACATAGCTCTGCTGACGGAAACCATAGTCATAGGTCTGGTGACGGCTCACTGGGACCTACAAACTCACCCTTTTTCTTGGGTATGCTATTGTGTTACTAAATGCACGTGACGGATGGATCACTGTAAAGCATTAAAGTAACATTTATGTCATTGTTTAATATAATTGTTTAATATAGGGTTTTATATATAAATCACAGGAGTTGAACTTAATGTGGCAATAATTCACATTCAAAAGGGGCAGAAGAGAGGAATGATCAGTGTGAAGTGATTTCTTTATACAGAAAAGCATATCTGAGAAGTGTAATACTGAATTGAACATGGAAGGCTCAATTAAAGTCACTTGCTGTTCTGTCTGTGGTGAGGCTGGGGGGACACAACAATGGTCCTGCCAAGCTACCTGCAGGACTAGCTGCCTTCTGCATCAAAGTCTTTCTTTACCAGTGTTCCCCTTGGATATATTAACACCATAAGCACCCCTGTGAATAGAATATACATACATGGCCTTGGTTTTAAGATCTTGTAGTACCCTAGCCTCAGCTGGTTGGGGCTCACCATAGACTGCAAAATACATCTTAGAGGTAAGAGCAAGCTGAGCTCCACAGCTGCTACCTGCATGTAAGCTGGCTGGCTTATATTTGTCCTGTGTATGGCTGCCATGCACTGCTGTGATAATTAATACCTGAGCAGCAACGGTAGCATGAACAAACTCCAGGAAGAGATTTGGGTTGGCTGGAGAGTTACTCTTGTGATAAGACTTCTTGCTCCTGCAGATAGGTGAAGGAGGGTGCCCAATGTCCAACAGGAGCCTTTCAAAACTGTCCGCCCTCCTGTCATTTCTCAGATGCTACTGTGAGCATATGATGTTACAAAGACTCTGACTCCTGGAGGAAAGATAAAGTACTATAACTTAATAATTTCTGTCCCCTCCTTCCCTTTCTTATTTCAACCTTCAAAGGATTTTTTTTCAAGAGAGCAAGACAAAGTGATCTGGGACCCAGATCACACTTCTGCTCTAGGCTTCCTATGTGACTGTGGATAGTAGGTTGCGCTTTTCTCTACCTCAGTTTCCTCTCCATTAAATTAGAATAGGTGCAATTTTAAAATCATTTGTGTAATTGTGCCAGTTGAGCATAGAGACAAGATCTGCAGACATAAGGCTACCAAAAGATACAGGAAATTGCAGAGGCCAGTTTTGAAAGATTCCAGCGTCAGACAGCCAAGTCTGTGAGTTTAGGTGCCTTACCTGATTAAATGTTTTAGAAAATTTAATTGGGAACCAGGCTGCAGAGTGCCTAAGTGCCATGGAGATTGTAGCTCTAGGGTCTTCCGTGTCCAAACAGATTTTTAAAATGGGAACTAGTATTCCTTATTTGCTGAACAGATTTTTAAAATGCTACTAAGTCATAATGTTTCTGTTGTTGTTGTTTGTCTGTTTTGTCTAATTAGGCTCTGGCAGAACAATTGCAATGTCTTTTACTTTGCGTTTGTGCTGTGCTGGATAGACATAACCCTGAATTTAGTTCTCCTGTAGATGCGAGTTCAATAGAAATAACAATACTTTTACTAATGAGAATAACTATGTGAAGCCAGGATTCCTGCTAAATTAGTATCCATTAGTGACTTAGATCTATAATGAAGGTTTCCTTGCTCTCTGTTGTGTGTCTCAATTCATTACAGAGCGGTCCATAATATTTTATTAACAACACTTTTATTTTTTTTCTGGAACTATTGCCCCGAAGTATTGGAAGATTATGTGTTTTCCTGTAATATCAGACTGAGACAAATGGCACTGCTTGCTTTTATTATTGTAAGGAAGTGTCTTTCCTTTGGACTCAGATAGACTCGTAAATGGCAAGTAGCTGGAGACTAATGGAGCACATGCTTCAAAGCGTTCCATCTGGTCCCTTGGTGAGCAAAAAGAATATATTGTCTATGTTCTAATCAGTCCTCATTATGAAGAAAACCACTCCCACTCCAAGTTCCTGAAGAAACTCTTACCTTTACTCAGAGAGGGAAAGGGCAACAAGTACTGTTCCCTTATGCATCTGCAGGAGAAAAATGAATGGGGTAAAATTAAAAATTAGGTAGAGTAATTTTGTGCTCTGAAACTGGATAATGCACCTGTCAATAGGTATTTAGTTTGGTGGCCTTCAGTGACGTCTTCTAGTGACAGCAGAAGAGGGGCTAAAATTGTTTCAGGGAGACCCCATACATACCAGTTGAGTGAGTAAGAACTATAATAATTTGAATGAGAGCAAACCTACTTACATTAAGATCCCTTTTCTAATTTGTTACATCGGAATCTTCTTCAGAGCTCCTCCTCCAGTCATCCCATCAAATAGCCCCTATTTATTCATTTATTTATTTTATTTCTTCACATACATGTAGGAAGAAAAAGGAAGGAGATCCTCCCCCCAATGGAGGCCATCTGCTCTTTTCTCATTGGGGGGAAAAAACCCTACAATTAGTGTCTTGTTCATCTTTTCATTTTAACAAAAAAAGAGAGGGAAAGAAAGAGAGAGAACTATTATGCAAATACTCTGCAATTTGGTTTCAAATATTCTTTGTACTATGATGAGCAATTTCCTTTAATACAAACTCAGCCTACTTGCCAGGACTTTTTTTTTTGCCTTCATATAGGGAAGGAAAAAAAAAAACTTTTATGATTTTTTGGGGGGGGGGGGGCATGCTGGCATGCTGTGTTCCTCTGACGCCAACTTCTTCTCCTCCTTTTTTTCTATCTTTCTTTCTTTGGCAGTATTACAGCTGTTATTCTTTAAGTTGTCAGAAAGATGTCGTATAGGTTTTTTGAGAAAGAAAGAGAACCAAAATAGCTTTACAAAGCTGCAGTTTCATCTCAGTTTTCATTGTTCCATTGCCATGATGAAGTGGTCTTGAAATGGAGGACTCAGCTTAGTGAATGAGAGAGAAAAGCTTTCTCCCTGCTTTTTTTGAATGCCATTTGCTTGTGATGGCAGCATTACCTCTAAGAACAGATATGTAGGTTTTTTATAAGGAGCTCCTGTGCTACTTGTCAGTGGTACGCACTTCAGGGCCAAATAGCATAGCCAAGATTAAGTCCTTCTGGTCCTTGGTATTGGACAGCCCAGCTCGCTAGCTGAAAAGCTCTGAAAACTTATGAACTGGAAAAGATAAATAAAGTATAGAAGAAATAAAGGAATGTTATCTCCTGTTTGTTGTGTGGGAAGCTGAAGCATGGAAAAAATGAAATAACTCACCCAAGATCTATTGGTAGAGGACTTTGGAAGAATCAGAAGCTGAACTAAGAGTCTCAGATTTAGAAAGCTGCTGGTTTGTGTAGTGGTCTACTTGTGGCAACATCTGTAGACAGGCAGGAGTGCTATAGCAGCCGGGCTACTGCTGTACCGTCATCACCGCTAATTTAGGCTACTGCTATACAACAGTCATACAGACAGCAGCATGATCGTATCCTAATGGCTTAACAAATCTACTGACTTTCAGTAGGTCTTATGAGCATCAGACACATTTGAAAAGCCCACACTAAACTTCCTGATTCTTAACCCTTTGCAGGTTGAACTTTGGGAAAATTTCAATTGATATATTTATGTTACATGCTTAAGCCTGTAAAATACTAAGCATAAAATCTCTGATCCAGTAAGGCATTTTAGCACAGCTTAGTCAAATATCTTGCCAAATGAGGCCTAACTGACCATCTAACTATACAGAAGTGGCATAGTTTGCTCACATAAAAAAAAGTTGATGCTCAATGGATCGACCACAAATTGGGAAAATATATTCAAGAAACAAAATTAAGGGGAGTAAAACAAGAACAATATGACCTTTAAGCAAAGTCAAGTGTGTCACACTTACATCGTCACTTCTGTAGCTGTAACGGGACAGGGAATATAGAGCCATTCAGAATTTCTGATCTGAGCCTGCACTGGATCTGTTCAGATAGTCTGACTCATTGCTTGGGGCTCATTACATCAAGGATACATTACCTCAGACTGGATTTTGCCTAGGCATGCCTAGCACTGGATAGGCAGCACAGGAATTCATGGTACTTGAGGGACATTGATCCCCTTTAGATGCTCTATGGGAAATGGGAAATCTATGCATAGAGTCTTCAAGCACACTGGGTCATTTTTCTTGTTGCAGGAAGCTCTTATCATGGCCAGCATGGACCACCCACACCTGGTGAGACTCCTGGGCGTCTGCTTGAGCCCGACCATTCAACTAGTCACTCAGCTGATGCCTCATGGCTGCCTGTTGGATTATGTTCATGAACATAAGGATAATATTGGCTCCCAGCTTCTGCTAAACTGGTGTGTCCAAATAGCTAAGGTATGTAGTTCATGCTGTTCTTTTTTTGTCATTTTCATAACTAACTGAAAAACATGCCATGCAAAAAAAAAAAAAAAAAAAAAATTGTTTGTTTTTTGTGTGTGGTGGTTTTCAGGCATGTTTTTGTTTTCAGGAAGGTTGGGTAGTTCTTGAAATACACACTATTTTGGCTTCTTACACTATTATAGATTAGTTGTTAATATTTAAACCGAAGTGGTTTTCTTCTTTCCAACTCAAGTGTTAATGGGGGGTCTTCTGGGGAAAAAAAAAATTGGGGTAAGCCACCCCCTGTGTGACATCTGGGGCTCAGCACAGAATGATTTTTCAGCCTCTTCTACAGTTCATTCTTCATAGATACTGATTTAACCTAATTGTAGTTTTCAACCTTTCTGAATCTGCATTGCCAGTTAAATTCTGATACACCATCAATTGTCTGCCCCCACACTGCCAAAAAGATAAATATTCACTTCATGTCACTCCTTTGGGAACCACTGTGGTTCTGCTGTGTTTAAGACCTATCACAACAACTGAGGCTGGAAAGTAATACTGCTCATCTCTGCAGAATGGGAAATCTCAAGGGCTGGATCCTGCTTTGCTTGCTGTGGTGCTCTCTGCCTTCCTGTGGGGTGTTAGGAGCAAGAGTGAAGCTATTATCCTTCAGATACAGACTGCACTTCATCTGAGGGGGAACAGAGTATAAGTCATAAATGCAGCCCTTAGTGTAAACTTTGCACAGTGTTTTACATATATTTTTAGATATGTTTAGATATTCAGTGCGCTACTAAGATCAAATTATTGATAATCGGTTGCAAAGAGTAACAAGATCTGGGAGTGTAGGGGGCCATAGTTTTTATCCATTTTAAAGGCTCTTGCAACCATAGTTGTGTACAATGATGTTACTACAAATTAAAATCTGGAACCCACTTTTTATTTAGAATTTTTCAGAAGTTATTTAAAGTTCTAGATTATTTTGGTGAAAATGCTGGTTACATACAAGTGTGTGGCACTTATATTAATTCTGCCCTCTTATATTAAGTCTGCAGCCTTGAGTGAATTTGCTACAACACCCATTAAGAAATCTTAATTCAAGTTGTAATGTTAAACTTTTAGCACTGGAGGTTCAGAAATTGTTTTGCTGGACAGAATAGCAGCCATCAAGTAAACATTCACTTCTTTTAAAAACTTAAATACAAAATATTTTCTTACAAAAGTAAGAAAACTGAGAAGTTCAGCTAGCCCTGAGTTTTTGTTCAAGAAGAGGAGGAGTTTGAGGTTCACCTTTAATAGGGACTTTTTTTTTTTCCCAAGCTCAGATCTGATGTCAAACCTGCCTGAAGGTGACAGTAGATGAAATAACCATAATGCTGGATAGAGGGTTGATCGATAGAATGGGTAGGGGGAATCTCAAACCCATGTTCTGATGTTACAGCGTTTTATAGATGTGTTAATAACTGTGATTGTGCTGTGGTGGTAAACCAGCCAGAGTTGCACAGAATGTTGGAACACACTGATGGAGATTGCTTGTATCTGGAGATCTGTAAGGGTTTATTTAGGGCTGTTATCAGACCAGGGAAGGTGTGGGAGAAAATAGATACTCCTGTTCGAGTTGTTTCTCTCAACACAACCTCCTTCCCATCTGTTCTCCACTCTCTTGATTGATAGTGGCCGTTATTATTTGTTACAAAACATTTACACAGTGGCACACATGAAAAGATTAACCCACCTTTATTTTCAGTTTATGCATGCATATGGCCATTGACTCATTGGTCTAATAGCTATACTTGCTTTGCTGTGGACTTTATGTAGGCAGCTGATTTAGTGAAGCAAATAGCCTGATCCATAGTAGAGGCTTACAGAGCTGACAGATCCATGGGAGTGTCTGTGGAAGGCAGGTCATGATCTTCCCATGGTGATTCTTATCACAGTGAAATGGGTTCTAAACTGATTTCCATTGTGAATGGTTTCAGCATAATGTGGGGATTGGATTTACGTACACTCATTTGAAAATCATTGCCTGCCAGTTTTCTTGATCACCGTGGGACAAGAAGATGAGGTATTACAGATATTTAAGTTCTGAGATGGTGGGTAACCAAGCAGTGCAAAGAAGTGAGATCATACGCTTAATATTAACTGATGAAGCGTCAGGCAGATAAATTCTTTATAACAAAAGGTGGCCTATTACTGAGGGGAAGTTTAGTGAAGTTTAGTTAATTTATTGAAGTTTAATTAAATTCATCTTCTTCTGCATCACAATAATCTTTAGGTTAATTTTGCCTTGGCCTCATGTTACAGCATGAAGCTCATCCACTTGGCTACCCACAAAGGGGGCAGCAGCAAGTGACTGTTTTCTTGGAAAAATACAGTAGGACTGACTTGTTAACTGTGGGCCATCACAGTTTGTCTGGATTATTTTCTCCTCGGTTTCTTCATGTGTCTCTCCCTTCTCTTATTTTCAGTGCAGTGGTTGGTACCGGACATGGAGAGAATCAGGATGTCTGACAGGGACTTCTGCATTTTGCTGCTTTTGCGTGCATATCGGTGGTATTTAGTAGGGGATCGCTTTTTGTAGTTGAGAAGGTCACCACAGGTACTGATTATTTGCATACCATGCCAGTATGGTGCAATCCTATTGCGGAAGTAGACTCCAAAGAATTAAAATGTACCTTTAACTCTTTATTTCTCCTTGTCTTTGGAGACCTTGAATGACCACTGTGTGTTGAAAATCTTCCCCATCAGGTTGCATGTGTGCATAAAGATACAGCTCTTAATTGTTATATAGGAGGCTATCAGTAAAGAGAGGAAATAGGTAGGGATGTATGAGGCTGTGCACATCGCATAATGTGTAAGAGTAATGCAAATGTTGCACAGAATTTTCTGCGTTGCACTGTGCTTTCTGATGGGGTACAGGAAAAAAATCTCTTAGACCGTAATGTCGATTGGTGTTAGAGGACCTACACAGGAAAAAGTTTCAGAACTGGTAGGAAGAATAATCTTTGAGATCACTGGTCAAGGAGTCCCCTTATCCCCAAAAGCGGAATAAACATGCTAGTCTTCTGCTAGCAGCAGGGCAGTAATAATACTTGCTTTCCACTCATCTGTCACATTTAACGGTGACTAGGAATCAGTCTGCAGCCTGCAAATAGGAAAGATTCAATTTGCCTACAAACAGACTGTCTCCGGCAAGAATAGAACTGAAGGAACTGGAAATGCCTTGATTCCAAAGTCCAGGCTGATTTTTATGAATCATTTAAAATCAAGTTGCTGCTGCAATACAGTTCCTCCCTACTGCGCTTTTCTCCATCTGCCAACGTGCAGGCATTTATTTATCGAAGTCATTGCTTCAGAGTTCACTTGTTCTGCCAGGCTGTTCATTTCCATATGTCTCTACTTCTGTACAACTAGATGCAAAAACTAGTTAGGCACTATGCCTGGTTGCCAACCTGCATATGGCTCTGGAGATCGTTTCTGAAGGTTGACAATAGGGCAGTTATTAAATACTATCTACTGCCAATTGAAAAAAAAAGCTTGGATGCTTTTTATTTTGCTTATACAGATTGTGTTGAGTTTATTCTGACTGTTACATCATTGATGGGTAATTGTGTTCTCTTTCCAGAAGCTTTAGCTTCTTATTTTATGGATGAAAGATATAAAAATAGAGTAGCCCCTAAGCGTTCTGCATAAAACATGGTTGTTAGACAGCAGCTGTGTGTAAGGGGGTTCTTCCCTTCTGCTTTGCAGACACACAAGGCATCTCCTTGTGTCTCACTTCTATGTGTACTGTCTAACTTAGGGACTGAATGTTTAACCTTTTAGCTTTGAGTTCATCACAGCAATTTTATGTGGAGTTTGATGTCCAGCAAAGCAGTAAACTATGCTCACATATCAAGATACTTCCTACAGCGGGAGCAAAAGTGACAAGCTTGGTGGCCTTAGGATATAGAAGGATGGAATAATACTTCGTGAACATCCATAGCGTTGGCTACTGGAGAAACAGATTGAGAATCAAATTTTGTAAGGTTAGCACAAGCCTAGAAGTGAATTCTCGGTAGGTGAATTATGTCCTTGTCAGCCAATGTATGACAGATACGTGTAACAACAAAAAAAAAAAGGTTCTGTGTGCATTGATATTTCAATGTGTTTGATACAATTTCTCTTAGTAAGAGCTGTCCAAACACACTCCCTGGTAATTTGGAGTTGTGGGGGTGAGGACATTCTTATGGACATTCATTCAAGAAGAGAAGAAACATCTTGAGGTTTCTAGTCAGAAAGAGTTGGTTACACTCTGCCACTAGGTGGGGTTAACTATAAGGCACCTGTATTTGACCCTGCATCCTCTCACTGTTAATCTAGTGGAAAAAATTAGCCTGAGTCCTGTTGGAATTATTTGTGCTGTGCTAGGGTCTGCCTCTCTCAAGGGCATGTAGAAATGCGGTTTTGCTTCTGTAAATTTGCATAGAACGCTTGCTAAATTCAACATAGAAGTTCAACCCAGGCAGCCCCATCTACTGTTTTACTATTTTTTTCTTGTACAATTATGGTTTCATTCTGCTGCTGTTGATTTGCCTTATATGTGCACCAATTTTGCTGATCAGTGTTTGAATGCAGAGGAAGTTTTCCTGCCCCAAAGAAGATGAGGCAGAGTAAGAGTGAGAAAGGAAGCAGTCTTCCTAAAACAAAGCAGCTTGCCTGCGATCACCTAGCCTGTGGAGGAGACCTCAGCTCTCCGGGGTCTTAGCCGGTACACCATTCTGTTCTGCCCTGTATTCCCCAGGGGCTGACAGAGCTGGTTTTTGCGTTCTGAACTATAATAATTCATTCAAAACCCCTCAGAATACTAATAAGGTAAAGCAGAAGTAGGTTGATACAGTGGAATGTCATGGAAGGAAAATCAAGTACTTCAGGGGATTACTTTTTATACCTTTTCAATATAAAAGAATTCTCAAATTACCTTAAGTAAAGCCCTGAACAGCATCAGTTATCCAGGTATGCAGGAAAACAAT